TGGCAAATTCCTTACCATGTTTGTCTTATCCACTTTTCTGTCTCCATGAAAACATCCAACCACACAACAAACATTCTAGCCACATCATTTGCATTTACGTGAAATACCCTTCCTCATTTCCAACAAAAACTAAGTACTTTGAACCCTAATGACTTTTGTTAAAATGTATGTTTTGCTATATGAATGTTTTCCAGCAATATCCAAGACCCATGTCTGAAATATCTCTATCAGCTACCTTTTTTGGGGTGTTGGAGGAGGCAGTGTTCAACCAGGCCTACAGGTTTGTATAGGCCTGGCTCTTCTGGAACTCAATCGGTAGACCAGGCTGGCCTTGAAATCCACCTGCTTCTGCCTCCCCAGTGCTAGAATTAAAGGCATGTGCCACCACTGCCTGGCCCCTATTATGTACCTTTAAATATTACCAGTGCAGTGTTTGTAAGGAAACTGTGTATGTCTGTGTACATCACCACCTTAGCAGATCCTACACAAGAGCAGAAACTACCTTGGTTCATCTTGATACTCCAAATGCCTAATCTTTGGTAAATATCTAGCAACAGCTAGCTACAAAGGAATAGACATCAAATGAAGACAGTGCCTTTCTCAATTCAGAAGAAACTTCAAATGTCCAACTTTTACTCACTTCCCCAGTATATTGATTCATTCTTTCATTTGTTCATACAACACATACATATACCACACACACACTTCTCTTCCTATAATCTCTTAATTACCCACCCATCTTCCCCAACTTGAAACTTCTTCACCTGGCTAACTTATACTGGAAATCAACACCAAGTTATATCTCAGCCACCTAACTGTCAAACCTTACCACTTTTTTCCATCTTCTGTGATAAAGACCACCCTTACTAAAGCCAGGATTCTTTACATCTCATTTCTCTTACTGCCCCTTCTCAAGTCTTACCTCATTTTAAGTATTTTACGTATAACTCTGCATCCATTTAAATGGCTAAAATGTACAGTTTAAGTTTATATAAATATTGTTAGCCATACATGTTTAACCCCTTGATAGTCTCTAAACTTCCTACTATCCCTCCAGTCAAGTGGGATATACAGGTTATTAGAATGATCACACTTTCTAGCCTTATGTACTCCCCTTGTTCAGCCAAGGGACATCGTAAGTATTATGAGATTCCAAGACAAGACACAAACTCCTCAGGAGACACCCACCAGTGTCTATAACCTAGGCTTCATATTCACCTGTTCCTATCTATATTTCCCAAATACATGCTGGTCACATCTGATTTTTTCAATGTCAGTCTTTTACCCTGTATCTGTAAATTCTGACAAGGGAAAACAAAAACATGTCTGTTTGAACATGGAGTGTTTCATAAACCAAGCAAGCATAAACGCCCAGCACACAAGTATATAAAAAAACACTAGACCAAAAGACTACTGCCATCTTGTTAACTCTTTGTTCCAATCTTCTTTAAATTGTAGTTCGCAAGCTAACAATAGGTCATGAAACTCATCAAGGGGGTAGCCATCAGTGCTTTGAAAAACCAAAACTAAATACCTGAATATGGTGGCACATCACTGTAATCCCAGCACTCAAGGGGGCTAAGGCAGAAGGGAGGAAACACCATTTATCAGTAGGGTTGGGGAGATGGCTTCTGTTAGTAAAGTGCTGCTACTCAAGCATAAAGACCTGTGTTTGAGCCCCCAGTACCCATGTAAAATAAAAGCCAAGTAGGACATGTATTCCCAATGCATTCCCAACCCTGGGGAAGTAGAGAGAGGAAGATCCCTGAGCCTTGCTGCCCAGGCTATCTAGCCTAAACAATGAGCTTCTGATTCAGTGAGTCCCCATCTCAAAAAATAAGGTGAAATGTGATTACAGAAGACAACCAAATCACCCACTGGTGATATACTAACATACAAACACACATGTACACACACGATAATAAATTTTACACTGTGACCAAGATTTCTGGCTTTACATTTAAATGTAGTTCTTAATCCTTAAACTAGGTGTTGATGCCTCAGACCTGTAATCCTCACACATAGGAAGCAGGTAGAGTTGTCACAGTTTGAAGTCAGCCTGACCTATAGTATAAAAGTCTGTCATTCATGTATGTATATATGTATGTACGTATGTATGTATGTATGTATGCCTTGGGGTGATAAAGAAAACTAAAAAGCACTAAATTTTTCTTCCTCATTATTGGAAAGTATCTTTTGGCTGGGTGATGGTAGACCATGCCTCAGGAAGCAGAAGTAAGCAGATCTCAAGTTCTAGGCCAGTCTGGTCTATAGAGTGAATTCTAGAGCAGCAAGGCAAGGGTTACATAAAGAGAAATCCTGTCTCAAAATAAATGATGAATGAATAAATGAATGAATCTTTTGGACAGGCACAGTGATTCTACCTTAGAATACCAGGGCAAGCAGAAGCAGAGTTTGAGTTACTGTGCTATTACAGTGAGTTCCAGGCCACCTTGTAGTGCAAAACGAGACTTTTGTCAAGACAACAAAAACAGTGCCTGAGATGGCACAGCAGTCAGTACTTGTTGCTACTGCTAGGGTTCAATTTCCAGCACCCACATGGTACCTCATAACTATAACTTCAGTTTCAAAGGATCCAATACCCTTTTCTGGCCTTCATGGGCACCAGACACAGACAGTGTGCATACGTGCATGCAGGCAAAACATTCACACATAAATAAAAACAAATATACACTAAAACCCATCTAGACTAGCAAATGAAAATTGAAAAACTGGGGCAGCCATCTTCCAGTTAACTCGCCAAAATGATGAACACAAAGGGAAAAAGAGGAGAGGAACTCGGTATATGTTCTCTAGCCCTTTTAGGAAACATGGAGTTGTTCCTTTGGCCACATACATGCGAATCTATAAGAAGGGTGATATTGTAGACATCAAGGGAATGGGTACTGTTCAAAAAGGAATGCCCCATAAGTGTTACCACGGCAAAACCGGAAGAGTCTACAATGTCACCCAGCGTGCCGTGGGCATCATTGTAAACAAGCAAGTTACGGGCAAGATTCTGGCCAAGAGGATCAATGTGCGGACTGAGCACATTAAACACTCGAAGAGCAGAGACAGCTTTCTGAAGCGGGTGAAGGAGAACGATCAGAAGAAAAAGGAAGCCAAAGAGAAGGGCACCTGGGCTCAGCTGAAGCGCCAGCCTGCACCACCCAGAGAAGCACACTTTGTGAGGACTAATGGGAAAGAGCCCGATCTTGAATGCTGCCAATAAGAACAATGTGATTACCCACTTCTCATACTGTTAATAAATACCAACTAGTTTTTAATTATTTAGATACAAACACTGTGTGGTAGCAAGCACATACATTGCTTTGGTTAATTTTCTTAGAACAAACCCTCACTCTAATCCATTCCTGCCTAAAAAACTTGTCGTTTCCAACTCCCAAATGCTATGATTATAGTTACACCATGATTGAGAGTGCTTTTATTCTTAGGGTTTGCCTCTCTGTTCCCCATATTCTTATAGTGCTAGAAGATTTAATATTTAGGTGGCTGATATAAAAGTCTGCTACAAGACTTACTTAATCATCACCTCTCTACACTCTAAGTCCTTCCCTTTGTCTTTATCCACCTTATATGTATGTCCATTAAAATAAAAGTCTGGCACTAATGTCCTGTGGTGGAGTTGGCAGTAACTAGTTAACACTTCATGTGTATACACATTGCACATCAAGTGCTGTCCTGAGCTTTAGTTTTCTTTTGTCTCAGGGTCATTTATATAGCAGTATCACTTTGTAGCCGAGGCTAGATTCTAACTAGAAATAATTAGTCTGATCCTCCCAGAGTTTTAGGACTGCAGTTTTCCTAAGCATTATATAGAACATCCTCACTTATTCCTTACTACACAACCCTATAATAGTGGGTGCGATAGGTAAGTTAGTTCAGTTAATAAAGGCATGGGATTCTCAGTTGTAGAAGTCTGACTCCAATGCCCATTCTCTTTCACCATTCATCTTTGTTGTCCAGGTTTTTGTTTTGTTTGAGACTGGCTCTCACTATGTATCCTTGCGTGACCTAGAACCTGCTATGAAGATGGACCACGCTAGACTCAAAATTATCTTCTCAACAAAACTGAGGATTGTTCTTTTTTTTTTTTTTTTTGGTTTTTCGAGACAGGGTTTCTCTGTGTAGCCCTGGCTGTCCTGGAACTTACTCTGTAGACCAGGCTGGCCTCGAACTCAGAAATCCGCCTGCCTCTGCCTCCCAAGTGCTGGGATTAAAGGCGTGCGCCACCAACGCCCGGCGAGGATTGTTCTTTGAGGCATATAAAAAGAATGTGTTATCTAAAACAAATTTTATACGTGGAGCTGGAGAAACTACACAATGTTTAAGAGCACTTATTGCTCTTACAGAAAATCTGGGTTTAGTTCCAAGCACACACAAGACAGACCCAGTCTCAGGGATTCACACCCTCTTCTGATCTGAGGGCACCAGGCACATTCATGCCATATACATGCAAGCAAAATACTCATATAAAAAATAAATCTAAAAATAAAAAAGTTAAAAAAAAAAACCAAATTGCTAAGAGGCCTAATTAATCAGTATTTATTCTCTTAGCTCCCCATTGTGTCTGTCTGTGCACGTTCATCACAGCCATGCATGTGGTTGTCAAAGGACAAATGTGTTGAGTTGGCGCTCCTTTTTAACTTTTAGATAGGTTCTACAGATTGAACTCAAATCTATAGGACTGCATAAGCAAGTACCTTTACCCATTTACCCATCTTAACAGCCCCATTTTAATATTCTTTTGAAGAAATGAGCAACAGAAAAAAATGTATCAAAATTTCAGAAACTACTAGCCATCATATGAAAAAAAATGGTCATTTGCCAAAAACAGAAAAACAACAACATTGTTATGTTTTGATTTCTTCATTTTTGTTTTGAGGTAGGCAGAGCCTTGCTACATTATAACCAAGGCTGAGCTCAAAAACTCAATCCTCCTTTGCCATAGCCTCCTGACTGCTGGAATTACAGGTGTGTACAAAGGATCATGCCCAACTCATTTTCCTGTCATCCTTATGCAGGGGCCATGCTAATCTTCTCTGTACTATTCCAATTTTAATATATGTACAGCCAAAAAAAGCACAAAATTAAATGTTTGGTTTGCCTTAATCTTTGGTAGAAATTGTTTCACTAAAGTTCCTCACACTCACAATAGCTTCAAGCAGGTGTAATGTAGCATGCCTGTAGTCCTAGCTACTAAGGAGGCTTAATTGGAAGGTTGGTTGAACCCTAGAGTTTTCAGACCACCTAGGCAACACAGTAGGACTCCATCTCGAAAGTTTAAAAAAAAAAAAAAAGAAAAAAGAAATTGAATGAAAACAAAACCACAAAATGACTATTTCCTATTTCTTATTCATTAATTGTTGGGTATTATAAACTGGCAAGGTGACATCTGAATTTTTTTTGTAAATTTACCACAAATAATTACTTTATACTTCCACTTATCAGGCAATATTTAGTATGTCTACGAACACCACTATGCATTGAAAATTATTTTCTTCAAGTTGAATAGACAAGAGGAGGTAGAAAACTAAGTGCCAGAGGGCACTAGCCCTCTTCTGAATACAGGCTCCTACTGGGGAAAGGCACCCACACTCTGACAGTCACTGCCAACCACACAATCTGTTTGAGGTTCTATCAACTGAATTTACAAGGCCTTGAGAAATTTAAGGTATGGGGCAAAGTGTTATAGCACAGCAATACCTCACTAAACCATGGGGTTGGTTGTTCAACCTATCTGATTATATAAAGAAACTCTAATGAACACATTTTGCAACTAAAAACAAAACGAACAAAAAAACAAAATTAAAGCATAATGCCAAGATCTGAGAAAAACAAAACACAACTCCACAGATGTATTCTAGCTAGGACAGTAAGTCATTTACTTTATACAGTGTTACCTTGAGAAATAACAAAGGTATGGCTTGCCCCTGTAATTCCTCACTGGGGCAGCAGAGGCAAAAAAAGCTGTAGCAAAATAATCATCTTTACCAGTTCTCTAGGGCATACATTAACCTACTGGTCAAAATTCAAAGCAGACTTCATACACTGGGTCTTTAGTGCCTTTGAAACTGAGGTAGAGAGATTGGTTTGTAACATAAATCCAGGCCAATTCAGTTATCAATACAGTAGGGCTACAGAAGAAAATCTTTACCCTACAGAATTGTGGTAAGTCCTAAAACTGTTACCCATCTTTACATAGCCTGTTCTTAAGTGTCCTTTAAGTGATTTTCAGGCAGTGACAAAATGTTCACTGAGGATTGAAGGAAAAAGATCACACTCATCACTGCCATCATTTAAGATCAGCTGAAATAGTTCAACAAGTATTCAAAAACTTACCTATTAACTTCTGTGAACAATTTTATATATATGTATAAAAGTTTACAAATAGCTTTTATGTTCTTCTAGGGGAGAAAGAACAGAAGAAAGTTAAGTTTCAAGCAGGACACTTAGACACAAGCAACAAATAGATCTCTTTGAGCATGGTCTTCATAGTGAGTTCCAGGACTGCTAGAGCTACATAATGAATCTCTATCTCAAAAGAAAAGGAAAGGAAAAATACCGAAATGCAAACATTCAAGTACAAAAACAAAGACAGAAAGGAAAAACAGAAGGAAAAAAGGCAGGCAGGCTTTTATTCTTTCCCATTTCAACAGAAAATGTGAACCTACATCAAGTCATTGGTCTCAACATGGCAAGTTCATAATGTACCTGGGGTCCTCTGAATTCTGCATTACCACCTAAATCCAAAAGTTGGCAAAACTTGATGGCTCACACCTTTGATCCCAAGCACTTGGGAGGCAGAAGCAGACAGATCTCTATGAACACAAGGCTAGCTTGGTCTATATACGGAGTTCCAGGAAAGCCAAACTGGCTGGTACAACAGAAAAACTTTGTCTTGAAAAGCCCAAAAAGAAAATAAGAAAAAGGGGGAGGAAAGCCAGGCCGGGGGTGTGGGGGGTGGGTGGCCTACCCCTGTAGTCCCAGCACTTGGGAGGCAAAGGAAGGCGGAATTCTGAGTTTGAGGCCAGCCTGGTCTACAGAGTGAGTTCCAGGACAACCAGGGCTATACAGAAATACCCTGTGTGTGGGGGGGGAGGGGGGATGAAAAGAGGGGAAGGGGAGGGGTTTCACAAGTTGGCTAAATACTTATTTGTTCTGTGACACTTCAGAACTTACCAACTCACAGATTTAGCTGCCTTTTTTTTTGTTTTTGTTTTTCTTTTTGTTTTCCGAGACAGGGTTTCTCTGTGTAGCCCTGGCTGTCCTGGAACTCACGCTGTAAACCAGGCTGGCCTCAAACTCAAAAATCTGCCTGCCTCTGTCTCCCAAGTGCTAGGATTAAAGGCGTCTGCCACCACTGCCAGGCTTAGTTGCTTTCTTATAAAGAAAATGCATTCAAATATTTGACAGGTATATATATACACTACACATTTTATAAGCCTAATTTACTTTTTAAAAAGTTTGCAGGATCCAGCTGGAGAGATGGTTTAGCAATAAAGACACTGGCTGCTCTTCCAGAAGACAAGAGTTCAATTCCCAGCAACCACATGGGAGCTTACCCCTGCCTGTAACAATAGTCACAGGAGATGCAACACTGTCATATAGACACACACACACACACACACACAGGCAAAACACCAATGCACATTTAAAAAAATTTTTTTAGAATTTTGGCCAGCTCTAGATAAAATTAAAATCAGGCACAACAACCAACTTACATGTTTATTAAATACTCAATGGACGTCTTAAAAATCAAAATCAAAATGTAAGCCAGGCAGTGGTGATCAATACCTTTAATCCCACCACTCAACAGGCAGAGGCAGACACATCTTTTATTATGAGTCCACATGAGTTCCAGGATGACCAAGACTACAACCCTGTGGGAGTGGAGGCAGGGGGAGAATGATCAAATAAAAACACTGCCAAGTTTTAAATGTAAAATGCTTCCTTACAAGTTGCCTAAAAACGTGTTGCTACCACGGTTCTACCAAAATATAATGGCACCCTCATGGTAAATTCATTCTCCCAGCCCTGACAAAACAAAGAAAACTAGGCTGGTATAATTTAAGTTATATACTTGCTGGGTTTGGTGGCACACACCTTTAATTCCACCAGGGAGGGAGGCAGAGGCAATCATCTCTGTCTAAATTGTAGGCCAGTTGGGGCTATGTAGTGATACCCTGTATCAAACTAAAAAGAGAAAAAAATAAAAATAAAAAAAAACCTAAACAAGCCAGTCCTTTGACACTGGTCTTAATCCCAACAAACAGGAGGCAGAGGCAGGAGGCTCTCTGAGTCTACCCTGATCAACATGGATAGTTCTAGGACAGTTAGTCAGAGCTACAAAAACCCTGCCTCAAAACAAAGCAAAACAAAAAAAGCCTAATGAAATAAAAATTTAAGAGGAGCAAAAAATTAACCCTCACTACAGTGTTAAGAGAAGAAAAGTTACTAATACTAATATAAACCTTACGCTAAGAATAAATCAATCTCGGTATTGAATTTTTTTTCACATTTAAGACTCTAGTAATTGGTATAGGTCAATGGGTGGCACCTGCCTTTAATCCCAGCACTTGGGAGGTAGAAAGGCTGGTGATCTGAGTTCCAGGACATCCATATCTACTCAAAGAAAATCCCAGACTCTACCCCTTCCCCAAAAAAGGACTCCAGTAATTGCATTCAAAGATATGGAAAGCAAGTTTTGCTTTTTTTAACCATGAAAGTTAGCCAAAAGCTATACAATTTAGCAAAATACACAGATCAGACAAAGTGCAGTAGTCCTCCACCTGAACAGCAATGTATGAACGGACTTGTATGAATGTATGAACAATGTATGAATGGAGACTAAGTCTCTCAAATCAGAACATCAAAAAGTTCATTTTAGAAAGTATTCCATACAATATTTCATGTTACTGGCTATATCAAATATGGTAACTTGTGAACATGTTACAAAAGTACATTTATTATAGGGGCCAGGGGATGAAACAGAATTGCAAAGTGATTGTCTATAATATTAATGCCTATGCCTATGAATTTCAAAGACATACTTTTAAAAAAATTCTCTAAGACTACAGGAACTTTACAGGTGAATGCTCAGTATAACTAAAGTCAGAACCTTAGAGCACTGCAAGACTCATCCTTCCCAACTGTTGCAGGTGAGCAAAACTCATGGTTCATAATACAGCTGCTAAACGGGCAGAGTAAAGCACTGGCTCTATCTTATTTTCATGCCTTAATATAAATCCCACTCAGAAACATGGCCCACACGTTCTCTACAATTTGCAGGGTACGTTTAACTCCATTGTACACTCTCATTGGCAGATGGAGGGGTGCTGAGCCTGTTCTCTGAGTTAAAGGGATGCTTGAAGTGAGGGGAACATCTTGTGAACTGTCAGATGACCCGCCATTCTTCTTCATTATTCCGGCCTCTCAAACAAGTCAAACAGCAAAAGAGGACCAGGTCAGTGATCATAGAATAACAACACTAAACTGACAGTAAGCAAAAAAAAGAACAAACGATGGAAAGTCTCCCCGAAGGTCTCCTAACAAAGGGGCTGACTGAAGAAAAGAATTCCTTGATCTTGTAAACTGAAATTGCAAAGATCCAAAAAGCAAAACAAAACAAACATACAAGTACAGAACCTAATGTACACTTTTATACTTCTACAATCACTTTAGTTGGAAGTTCATGACTGGGACTCTTCCAACTTATCTCCATTTCTAATTGTGGAAAGACTTCATCTTTTCTCTTTCCCTTCTAAATAAGAAAGTGACAACAACCAGCAAAAGAAATGTCTCAGGTCTCCTCATCTGAACACACAGTTTGAGACATTTTAGTTTAACACCAAATAGATACAAAATAAACTGCAGTTCACACTAATTCTTAAGGCAAGGATGGAGAGAGAGGACTTAAGAACAGTATTTTGCTGAACTTTACATTACACTTAAAACCTTGGATCAGACACTAAGGTTTACCTTCCACCCCCATTCCTCAACAGAAAATCTGCTTCACAGGAGCAAAAATCTTTAAACATTGGGAAAGCAGAGGAAAAAGAATTAAGTGCAACAGTGGAGAAAGAT